GAAGAGAGGGCTGTGAGGAGATGTGTTGAGGACAATGAGTAAAGGAAGAGAGGGCTGTGAGGAGATGTGTTGAGGACAATGAGTAAAGGAAGAGAGGGCTGTGAGGAGATGTGTTGAGGACAATGAGTAAAGGAAGAGAGGGCTGTGAGGAGATGTGTTGAGGACAATGAGTAAAGGAAGAGAGGGCTGTGAGGAGATGTGTTGAGGACAATGAGTAAAGGAAGAGAGGGCTGTGAGGAGATGTGTTGAGGACAATGAGTAAAGGAAGAGAGGGCTGTGAGGAGATGTGTTGAGGACAATGAGTAAAGGAAGAGAGGGCTGTGAGGAGATGTGTTGAGGACAATGAGTAAAGGAAGAGAGGGCTGTGAGGAGATGTGTTGAGGACAATGAGTAAAGGAAGAGAGGCTGTGAGATGTGCTTGAACATCTTCAACACGTTGCAGAGCTGATCCGACAAATGGGTGCTAGAGTTCAACACCAGCAAGTGAACAGCCCCAGCGTAAGGTGATGGAGATGGGCTCAGGAGCCAGGAGACCAAAAGGTCAATTCATGATGAAGGGAAACTACCTTGCTATAACGACTAGATAACAAGACCTGGGCGTGGACATAATCCAGGAGTTCTTCACACACTTCCCTGTCATTCTCTGTGTACCTGTTCTCCCATATTTTTTTTTAAGTTTCATAACTTATTTCCTTATTGCTAATGAAGAACTAAATAGTTCTACCTCAGACGCCCTTATTTCAATACACACATATTTGATTGACAGAGCCCGAGTACATAGGAAGGGGGGGGGGGAAAGGGAGATTATGTGAAACCCTGTGTAGGCTTCAGTGGAAGCCTCGGGACCCTCGTGGGGGCAGTAGCACTCCAGGTTGCAATTCTTTTGACCATGTTGTGGTACAGTTCACTAGAGCGCGTCTGGGAACACTCAGCACATAGGTTCGAACCCTCATCAAGACCCTTGTGGAAACAGAACGTCGACAGGATAACAGGTATATGTCTACCATCGAGTGCCGGACCAACCGGGCTGTGATGGGAATGTGGGCCTGCGGGCCGCTCCTAGCAACAGCCTGGTGGACCAAGTCAAGTCTGGTCTCGGGCCGGGCTTGGGGAGTAGAAGAACTCCCAGAACCCCATCAACCAGGTATCAACCAGGTAACCAGGTATCGACATGCTTGACATTCGAAGTCATTTATGGCTGCTATCAACAGTATACACGACACTGATGATACAGGCAGACAGGTGTCAACATTGCATACAGTGTATGTACCGAGAGTATCAACAGTTATATCCAGGATACAAGAGTTATCCTTCCCACACACTCCAGGATACAAGAGTTATCCTCCCCTCACACTCCAGGATACAAGAGTTATCCTCCCCTCACACTCCAGGATACAAGAGTTATCCTCCCCTCACACTCCAGGATACAAGAGTTATCCTCCCCTCACACTCCAGGATACAAGAGTTATCCTTCCCACACACTCCAGGATACAAGAGTTATCCTCCCCTCACACTCCAGGATACAAGAGTTATCCTTCCCACACACTCCAGGATACAAGAGTTATCCTCCCCTCACACTCCAGGATACAAGAGTTATCCTCCCCTCACACTCCAGGATACAAGAGTTATCCTTCCCTCACACTCCAGGATACAAGAGTTACCCATCCTTCACACTCCAGGATACAAGAGTTACCCATCCTTCACACTCCAGGATACACGAGTTACCCATCCTTCACACTCCAGGATACAAGAGTTACCCATCTTTCACACTCCAGGATACAAGAGTTACCCATCCTTCACACTCCAGGATACAAGAGTTACCCATCCTTCACACTCCAGGATACAAGAGTTACCCATCCTTCACACTCCAGGATACAAGAGTTACCCTTCCTTCACACTCCAGGATACAAGAGTTACCCTTCCTTCACACACCAGAATACAAGAGTTACCCTTCCTTCACACTCCAGGATACAAGAGTTACCCATCCTTCACACTCCAGGATACAAGAGTTACCCATCCTTCACACTCCAGGATACAAGAGTTACCCATCCTTCACACTCCAGGATACAAGAGTTACCCTTCCTTCACACTCCAGGATACAAGAGTTACCCATCCTTCACACTCCAGGATACAAGAGTTACCCTTCCCACACACTCCAGGATACAAGAGTTACCCTTCCCACACACTCCAGGATACAAGAGTTATCCTTCCCACACACTCCAGGATACAAGAGTTATCCTTCCCACACACTCCAGGATACAAGAGTTATCCTTCCCTCACACTCCAGGATACAAGAGTTATCCTTCCCACACACTCCAGGATACAAGAGTTATCCTTCCCACACACTCCAGGATACAAGAGTTATCCTTCCCACACACTCCAGGATACAAGAGTTATCCTTCCCTCACACTCCAGGATACAAGAGTTATCCTTCCCTCACACTCCAGGATACAAGAGTTATCCTTCCCTCACACTCCAGGATACAAGAGTTATCCTTCCTTCACACTCCAGGATACAAGAGTTATCCTTCCCTCACACTCCAGGATACAAGAGTTATCCTTCCTTCACACTCCAGGATACAAGAGTTATCCTTCCCTCACACTCCAGGATACAAGAGTTACCCATCCTTCACACTCCAGGATACAAGAGTTACCCATCCTTCACACTCCAGGATACAAGAGTTACCCTTCCCACACACTCCAGGATACAAGAGTTACCCATCCTTCACACTCCAGGATACAAGAGTTACCCATCCTTCACACTCCAGGATACAAGAGTTACCCTTCCCACACACTCCAGGATACAAGAGTTACCCATCCTTCACACTCCAGGATACAAGAGTTACCCTTCCTTCACACACCAGAATACAAGAGTTACCCTTCCTTCACACTCCAGGATACAAGAGTTACCCATCCTTCACACTCCAGGATACAAGAGTTACCCATCCTTCACACTCCAGGATACAAGAGTTACCCATCCTTCACACTCCAGGATACAAGAGTTACCCATCCTTCACACTCCAGGATACAAGAGTTACCCTTCCCACACACTCCAGGATACAAGAGTTACCCTTCCCACACACTCCAGGATACAAGAGTTATCCTTCCCACACACTCCAGGATACAAGAGTTACCCTTCCCACACACTCCAGGATACAAGAGTTATCCTTCCCACACACTCCAGGATACAAGAGTTATCCTTCCTTCACACTCCAGGATACAAGAGTTATCCTTCCCTCACACTCCAGGATACAAGAGTTACCCTTCCCTCACACTCCAGGATACAAGAGTTACCCTTCCCACACACTCCAGGATACAAGAGTTATCCTTCCCACACACTCCAGGATACAAGAGTTACCCTTCCCACACACTCCAGGATACAAGAGTTATCCTTCCCACACACTCCAGGATACAAGAGTTACCCTTCCCACACACTCCAGGATACAAGAGTTATCCTTCCCACACACTCCAGGATACAAGAGTTACCCTTCCCTCACACTCCAGGATACAAGAGTTATCCTTCCCTCACACTCCAGGATACAAGAGTTATCTTTCCCTCACACTCCAGGATACAAGAGTTATCTTTCCCTCACACTCCAGGATACAAGAGTTATCCTTCCCTCACACTCCAGGATACAAGAGTTATCCTCCCCTCACACTCCAGGATACAAGAGTTATCCTTCCCTCACACTCCAGGATACAAGAGTTATCCTTCCCTCACACTCCAGGATACAAGAGTTATCCTTCCCTCACACTCCAGGATACAAGAGTTATCCTCCCCTCACACTCCAGGATACAAGAGTTATCCTCCCTTCACACTCCAGGATACAAGAGTTATCTTCCCACACACTTAAACTCTCAACTCTTAATACATGATAATAATCTGACGATTTTGCATATGATCTATTGCACTAATCTCTATGCAAAGTGTAAGAAAACTTGTAACCTAAAAAAACAGGATATCTAATCTTAAACAACAGCCCAATTTTTCCTAGTACATTCTAGCATAGGCCTATAATAGAATTGGCATACACTATTCCAAATGAAAAACTGACACGTCGATCTGTAAACAGGTCAATATGTCTAATTATTTTCATGGTACCTAACTACATATCAGCATATGCTCAAGGAGAAATCAGCATACCTGTTCCCGCTACACAGTATAGAATAAGCGACACAAATAATTATGCTTGGGTATATTATATAAATATGCTGAGGATAAAAGCGTAGTCATTTTTTTCAGGGATATTCTAGGGCGGGTCCTAAGGCTTTAGCTGGCCCACTAAGTGTTTAATAATGCCAAATTGGCATGGGTAGTGGAGACTGAGGATGGCACTTGGCACTACTTGGTACTGACGGCATTATAGAGTTGCCTGTCCCTTAGTACTACCCCAGGGCACTCAGAGCCTCTGTAATCATACCCTGTAGAGCGCTCAGAGAACCACCCCTCTACAGCTCTATCTAAATGCTCAGGAATTATCTTATTAATTCTTGTTTATACGGTATTTAGACAGATTTATCAAGAATTATTACCATGTATATAACTGGGTGAGAAACTCTGCAATTTTACTAGTTTGGAAGTTTTAGCTATTAATTCATAGACGCGGTGCCGCTAGGTTGTTTCAAGCGAAGGCTACACACGGCTATGAATAAGTTTGAGTGGGCAGGAACTGATTCTCATGGGCCAATAGCCCTTCTGCGTAGCTCACTTTGTTCCAGTGTTCTTAATCGCTCTAATGCCTTTATCTTTAATATCAAAATATTAAAATAATTGTTTTTACGAATATTAGGCACAAAGGTCACAGGTTATAAAACATTTATTTCTTCTTTCCAGATTTTTTTGTCGGGAAAAGGTCGGACCTTCTCTCTCTCGTCTTGTCCACCCTCTATTTTCTTCGCCACGAGAGGGGGACATGAGCCTCCACTCTCCAGCGCCACGATGCTTCTAATCAGTTACTCCCGAGCTAGACCATTGTTACACTCACCCTTCAGGTCATAACAATGATTAGCACCTCCACAGACCAGCCTGGCCCCAGCCCGTACCACAGATCGTCGGTAAAGCCTGAAAGGAGAGAACGTCGCCACAGACAGACAGACGAAGCCACAGCTGGCACCACAGACGTGGCCACAGCTGACACCACAGACGAAGCCACAGCTGGCACCATAGACAAAGCCACAGCTGGCACCAAAGACGTGGCCACAGCTGGCACCACAGACGAAGTCACAGCTGGCACCATAGACGAGGCCACAGCTGGCACCATAGACGAAGCCACAGCTGGCACCACAGACAGAGCCACAGCTGGCACCACAGACGAAGCCACAGCTGGCACCACAGACGAAGCCACAGCTGGCACCACAGACGAAGCCACAGCTGGCACCACAGACGAAGCCACAGCTGGCACCACAAACGAAGCCACAGACGCAGCCACAGACGGGGCCACAGCCGGCACCGCGGGCCACCGCCAAGCCAGACAATGCCCAGCAGGGTGAAGTAATCTACAACCTGCCACAGTGTCTCCTTCTGCCACACACATGGCGGCGAAAACTTCTCACGCGAAGTCTAAGTTTAAATCTCCAGTGATTTCTTCTCTCCAAGAATGTTTTCACTCCTAATGCCGCGCTGACTAAGTGAAATAGCACATGACGCACCGCTCCAGAAAGACAACGTCTTGGGACGTCGCCACATTCACTTAGCATCTTCGTGAAATTTTTTTTCTGTAAAAGATGCCCAATAACACAATAGAGAGATCCTTAAGTAGTAGAAAACTAAGATATATGGCTTGAGGGACACTGGAGTGCCAGTTTCAAAGACACTGGAGTGCCAGTTTGAGAGACACTAGAGTGCCAGCTTCAGAGACACTGGAGTGCCAGCTTCAGAGACACTGGAGTGCCAGCCTAAGAGTCACTGGAGTGCTAGCTTGAGTGTCACTGAAGTGCCAGCTTGAGAAACACTGAAGGACTGCCATCTGAACAGGCACTATAGGAGGGCCAGTTTGAGAGGCGCGATCCATGTAGAGGGAAATGAGAAGCGAGTAAGGAGGAGAGGCAAGAGCGAAGAGGAAGAGCAAGGTCCTGGAGGAGGAAGACAAGGCCGTGGAAGGAGGAGGAGGAGGAGGTATAACGGTGGCAGGAGTAAGCAAAGCCCTGGACGATAAGGGAAGGGTCCTTGAAGAAGCCAGCGGCACCCTGGGAGGAGGCGACGCGGCCCTAAGACAAGCAGGAAGAAGTTTTTTGTTTAAAGGAGGAAGTTGGGCTGCTGGAGGCGGGAGCATGGGGCTCCACCACCACCACGACTACCACCATCTTCACTACCACGGTAAGTACGGCACGACCACCACGACTACCACCACCATCATCACCTCAGTAACCATAGTACCACCGCAATTACCACCACGAACACCACCTCAACCACAGCACAATCACAACCACCACCACCACCACCTCAACCACAGCCCAACCACCACCACCACCACCTCAACCACAGCCCAACCACCACCACCACCACCTCAACCACAGCCCAACCACCACCACCACCACCTCAACCACAGCCCAACCACCACCACCACCACCTCAACCACAGCCCAACCACCACCACCACCACCTCAACCACAGCCCAACCACCACCACCACCACCTCAACCACAGCCCAACCACCACCACCACCACCTCAACCACAGCACAACCACCACCACCACCACCTCAACCACAGCCCAACCACCACCACCACCACCTCAACCACAGCCCAACCACCACCACCACCACCTCAACCACAGCCCAACCACCACCACCACCACCTCAACCACAGCACAACCACCACCACCACCACCTCAACCACAGCCCAACCACCACCACCACCACCTCAACCACAGCTCAACCACCACCACCACCACCTCAACCACAGCCCAACCACCACCACCACCACCTCAACCACAGCCCAACCACCACCACCACCACCTCAACCACAGCCCAACCACCACCACCACCACCTCAACCACAGCCCAACCACCACCACCACCACCTCAACCACAGCCCAACCACCACCACCACCACCTCAACCACAAAATAACAACAATCTTCAGTGCTCACTGAATGACACAGAACACCTTAGACACGCGGCACTAAATTAACATCAAATTTTCCGGAATCCTGAATGAAAAAAATAATATCTCATCTCTCAAAACATTCAAGTTCGATATCATTTTGAGGGCTTAATTATACCAGCGTCTTCTCAATTTCCTCTAAATTAAAATATGCACATTTACTAACATGTATATGTATGTAGCAGCCCTAGACTACATGCAGGGGCTACATAGGGAGTCCAGAGCCGGATCCGTGAGGCTAAACCCTGCCCATCTCATAGGATATATATAGACCACATGGTCTACAGACCACATGGCTATGTGGTCTGTAGCTCGGATGCAGTATGAGGACAATACAAGAGTATATGAGGCAGTATTGATACGAGAAAAAAGGCCACTATTTCGAAGGAATGGTTATCCATACCGGGGTATTGACCAACGCAACAGCCTGTCCTTGTGGGTGTATTATGAGGATATCCTCCATGACCACGAGAGGTAATAAAGTGATTGAAAAGTTCCCGGTTCGTCATGCCGGTGAAAATAACTCCACGGGGATCACCCTTCACATTTCACTTACCCGTCAAACGTCCTGCTCGTGGTGCAACTATAGTGCACAGCTACTATTTTTATCAATTATAAATAACTCCCTGATTTATAAATATATTTACCACTCTCTCAGTATAATAAGTTACAGGGAGATCGTTCCAGAACATCGGCAAAATTTTGTTTGATCAGCTCTGAATACAACAATATATATATATATATATATATATATATATATATATATATATATATATATATATATATATATATACTCTCTACCCTCCAGTCATTAGGTACACGCGATTCTATCACTATATATATATATATATATATATATATATATATATATATATATATATATATATATATATATATAGTGATAGAATCGCGTGTACCTAATGACTGGAGGGTAGAGAGCCGTGATATGACTGACGAGTGAAAAAGCAGGAGAGTGAGGGAGGCCGGAGAGTGAGGGAGGCCGGAGAGGGAGGGAGGCCGGAGAGGGAGGGAGGCCGGAGAGTGAGGGAGGCCGGAGAGGGAGGGAGGCCAGAGAGGGAGGGAGGCCGGAGAAAGTGACCAGTACAATGTGTGTGGACAAAGAGCGGGGACGCAAGCCGAGGAGTTATGTAATGATGCCAGAGCTGATGTAAGACAACAGCTCTTGCTTGCATTTTCGCTAAGAACTTTAATGACATACCTAATGAACTCTAGTCTTAGTTCAAGAGAGAGAGAGAGCGAGAGCGAGCGAGAGAGAGAGAGAGAGAGAGAGAGAGAGAGAGAGAGAGAGAGAGAGAGAGAGAGAGAGAGAGAGAGAGAGAGAGAGAGAGAGAGAGAGAGAGCAGAAGAGATATACCTAAGATCATCAACTACTATCAGTTCCACTGCAACAGATCTGGGCAAGCCAAATGACATTTGACTGATCTCTTGGCCAGTTGACGGCAGGGAGGGTCCGGGCCAGCCAAAGATAACCACCTCAATCAATGAACAGGGAGCAAATTTCCCTGCAGTAATTACAGTCTAGTAATTCCCCTTAGAACAGGTGGCGAGGGAAGGGCAAGCTGGGATCAAGTATATTAATTTCATTAGATATATAATTATTGTCATTAGTATAATTATTAAAAATATTATTATTATTTGACATTCGTCAATGTATGTATGGCTGGGCCATCAAAAGGCTCAAGATAAAATATTAGAACAAATATGTATCTAGTTTAATGTATGGGTTACTTATGAGTAATTAGAGTATACAGAATTTGATGTATGTTCACCATACAATACGTATGATAGAGCGGGAGAGATTTACGGGGACTCGTTGAGACTATTGTGTATGAGAGACAAGAATGATAACACTGAAGGTGGACAGGAGTAATGTTATGGTGGGGAGAGACGGATGTTGTGATGCTGGAAGATGTCGCACCTCCAACATCACACATGCCAGGATCTAAGACGTGTGGGGTGCGGGAGAGAGGCGTCGTGTCAGCACATCCCAGGATCTAAGACGTGTGGGGGTGCGGGAGAGAGGCGTCGTGTCAGCACATCCCAGGATCTAAGACGTGTGGGGGTGCGGGAGAGAGGCGTCGTGTCAGCACATCCCAGGATCTAAGACGTGTGGGGTGCGGGAGAGAGGCGTCGTGTCAGCATACCTTAAGGGTAAGGCAAGAACAGTACCTGGGGACAAGGAAAGCTAGGCTAAACAAAATACTTCATTAGTAATATAAATAAATAGGTAGAGAGGTGAGCATTGAGTGGCGGTGTCAACCATGAATGTGATGGTTGCCATGATGCAGGATGAGAGGGAACAATCAAGAAATACAGCAGTATACATACACTATCTAAGAAGCAAGTGCGCTGTAAAAAAAAAGGAATATATAATGAAATGAAAACAAATGGTAGTGAGAGATAAAGTGCGCAATAAGTCGATAAATCACAAGATTGGGCGGCGCTTACAGAGATCGTTTGGCCACGTTGAACGACTGAACGATGATAGACTGACATAGAGAGTATATTCGAGCGTTATGCGCGGGAGAGGAAGGTGTGTGTCGACACAGTGTGTGTGGTTACAGCAGCGTGTACAACACCCGGGATACGGGGGGTACAAACACAATCTTCTGAAAGCAGTTTAGGCGGGTACAGAATCTCTTCCGTAACCCCTAAACTGGGAGTGAATATGTTCCTCAGTACTATCAGGCGAGGGTGAATATGTTTATCTGGGAGAATGTGTTGATAACTGAGCTGAATGTGATCATGTCTCCGAATCTGTTGTGAGTTGTGTGTGATATAATGTTCCTGTTTCTCTCCGGAGTGACGTCTACCCGCCTCATGCAAGTGTGAGGGACCAACTACTGTTGACCATGTGGATAAGTACTATTGGCATAAATGCTTGTATTTGCTGTAGCAAAGAGACACAAAAGCGATTATGCTGCAGCAGAATTGTTATTGTGATTATGCAGCATAGACAAGGTTAAATGCAGATTTGTGATAGCAAGACCCGGGTCATAGATGACAGGACCACGATTATAGTCCTTACTGAATAGTGGTAGCACACAGGCCCCGCTCCTCGCGTACGATGACGTCTGGTTGACCAGACCACACACTAGAAGGTGAAGGGACGTCGACGTTTCGGTCCGTCCTGGGACCATTCTCAAGTCGATTGTGAGACGTCTGACAATCGTCCCAGATGACGTCTGGGTTCGAGCCCCTAGCCAAGGAGGAGTGATTGGGCGTGCCAATCAATAACTAATGCGTGTCAAAGAAACAGTTTTTTTATATAACGATTCAAATATTACACATGAATTGTCAAAGAAAACTTGACCAAAGAAAAACATGCGATCTTACCAAGTAATAAGCAACTGTGTCCAAAAATGTTTAA